TGTTGTTGTTGTTGCTGCTGCTGCTGCTGCTGCTGCTGCTGCTGAATCGAGCAGCTCATCGTTTGCTGCTGGCGCAGCAGCACCCGCGTGTCTGAGTGGCGTATCCCAAGCTGCAGCAGCAGCTGCAGCAGTTGCTGCAGCAGCAGCAGCAGCAGCAGTTGCTGCTGCTGCTGATGGTGCTGCTGCGGGCCCTCTTCTGTAGCTAATAGAAACCCAGCAGCTGAGGCTGCTGCCGATGGGGTGTATACGCAGCTGCTGCAGCAGGTTGTTTGCATGTCTTCCTCTCTCAATATAATATATCCCGCTGCTGCTGCTGCTGCTGCTGCTGCTGCTGCTGCTGCTGCTGCTGGTTTGCTGCTCGCAGTCTTCTTCATCGACAAGAAACACTGCAGCACGAAGCGGCGGCAGCAGCAGCAGCAGCGCCTCATCCAGAGCAGCAGCAACAGCAGCTTCTGACGCACAGCTGCAGTGAATAGGGAGAATACCTCCCCGTCGCCGCTGCTGCTGCTGCTGCTGCTGCTGCTGCTGCTGCTGCTGCTGGGTGTCGTGCTGCAGCAGCAACGCAGCTCCCTCTTCCGTCATCAGCTCAGCAGGCAGCTGCAGCAGCGGCGTCAGCAGCAGCACATGCGACACCCCTTCGCCTAGCAGCCAGCGGCAAGCAGAGACAGCAACACTGCTGCTGCTGCTGCTGCTGCTGCTTCTGCTGCTGCTGCTGCTGCTGCTGCCTATTGCTGCTGCGTCTGCTAGCAGCACAGTGCATGCACCCTCAGACTCCCAACACCGCAGCGCAGCAGCCGAAGACAGCGACCAGTGTGGGGTCTCCTCCAGCTGCTGCTGCAGCTGCTGCAGCTCCTCCTGCTGCTGCTGCTGCTGCTGCTCTTCGTCTGCCTGCTGCTGCTGCTGCTGTTGCTGCTGCTGCTCGTCGTACTGCTGCAGCTGCTGCTGCATATTCTGCTGCCACTGCGTTGGCTGCGGAGTCACCTTGACGGCTGCAGCAGCAGTAACGGCTGCAGCAGCAGCAGGTGCAGCAGCAGCCGCTGCAGCAGCAGCAGGTGCAGCAGCAGCAGGTGCAGCAGCAGCAGCAGGAGGAGCAGCAGCAGCAGCAAGAGTGCGTGGTAGGTTATCTAGGGAGAGTACAACGTCACCAACACGGCGCGGATCCGCCAGCAGCTCATATGCTTCTGCTGCTGCTGCTGCTGCTGCTGCTGCATCTTGCTGCGATGCATGCAGCAGAGCAGCAGGTGCCTGGGGGGCCCAATCCTCCTGCAGCAGCCCCGCAGCTTTGCGGCACCACTCAGAAAGACTAGGTCCTGCTGCTGCTGCTGCTGCTGCTGGGTCTGCTGCTGCTGCTGCTGCTGCTGCTGCTGCAGCAGTTTGCCTGTCTTGCTGCTGCTGCTGCTTCCACAGGGATGAGAGAGAGATTGCGGCGCAGTGAGCATCGGGGCGCTGCTGCTGCAGCAGCTGCTGCAGCAGCAACTCTTCAAAGCCCAGCTGCAGCAGCAAACCACCAAGACAAAGCTGCTGCAGCGGCAGCTCTCTAGGGTCAACAGGCTGCGTATACACCAGAACATCTACTTCTTGCTGCAGCACCACCTGCTGCTGCTGCTGCTGCTGCTGCTGCTGCTGCT